GCTTCTTCAGAAAGAGGTCTGGGTGGAGGATGGTGGGGGGATGACCCACGCTACCCTTTTCTACAGCAAAGGCCCAATGACTATGGGATCCCCATGGAAGTAGAGATGACTTACGTGCAGGATGGGTTCCTGACCAATGACATCCTCCATGAAATGGTGAGACCACAGGCTCTGGGAGATCGGATGAAAGGCACCACCTGGAAACCCAGGGTCTGACGTGTGTGGGAAGAGGAGGAATGGGAGGAGGTTGTGAAGGGAAAGAGTCTACCTTGTCCCAGAATCCCAGTCTGGCTCTGGAGCTCACAGTTCCTGGGAAGGTTGGGCCCTTCCCAGGCCTGGAGCTGACTGGCGCTAACATTGGGCGATTTTCCTGCCTCACTCTGGCCCTGATGTAGATGTTGCTGGTGGACTTTTACAAAGGAGCCCCAGATGTGGTCAAGTTTCAAGACCTGTGGAACCAAGAGCAGACCTATCTGGACAAGCTGAAGGTGAGAAGGAATCCCAAGTCCAGCATGCCCAGCATGCAGTGCTACCTCTGTGGTGCTCCCTCAGCCTCTACTATGGCATCTTGCACATAGTACCTGCCGACTTGATTTGGAGGCCAGAGTTCCAGTGGCAGGCAAGCAATTGGCAGATTCCTGAATTAATGTTCTCTTTAGTCTTCCTTTCCCAAGGATAACTGCATGTTTATGTAAGGACTTGATTGTGACCCAGGTATGTCTGAATTATTTAAGTATTTCTCCCCACATCTGGGAGCTAAACTCCTAAGATATATATAGATATAGATATATAGAGAGATATATAGATATAGATATGTACACATACATATATATATAACTTGTGGTTTACACCAAAACCTAGGGCATGCATTTGCAAGTTGTTTTTCCCATTACTCTGGAAACTGGATAGCTAGCTGGTGCTGGACCCGAGTCAGGAAAACCCAAATCCAGCCTCAGATACTTACTAGCTGTGTGACTCTGGGCAAGTCTCTTAACCTCATTCAGCCTCCATTTCCTCCTCCATAAAATTGGGATGATACCAGCACCCACCTTACAGGGTTGTTGGGAGGCCCTCCAAATGACATAAGATACGTAAAGCACAGCAAAATTGCAAGTGCCATATAAACGCTCTTCTTCCTACGGGGGAGGAGCCATTAAGTGTGCTCCTCTCGCCTCCCCAGTAGATCCCTTCCTGACAGCTGACATGGTGCTTTTCCTACAGCCTTCTTCTACACTATGAGCACCTCCAGGCAGAGGTAGTGCTCCGAGTCCTTGCTTACCCCTTAGTAGGAATGAGATGATCGGCTCCCAGAACAGATGTTAACGAATGAAAAACGTTTTTTAAAGTTCTCACCATGTGTCAGGAACTGTACTGTTACACTAGTTTCATGATTTTGCTGAGAATTAGGGTAGCTCTGTTTGTGACCATAGGCAAGTCACAACTTTCTCAAGCCTATTTTCTGAGTAGAAAAATAAGTTACCAATTTATTTCTCACTTCTCACTCAGGTTTGGAGATGTTTCTGTACAAATTTGGAGGTAGGAATGGGCCAGAAAGCCTTTTCAGGAACTTTTCAGGGCCTGATCCCGTAACTGCTGGACTTTGATTTCAGGTCTCCTTGGCCAGCAGGACACCAAAGGACCAAGGTCTGTGCCATGTCTTGGAACAGGTCTACTGTCTCCTTAAGAACAGCAGCTGAGGCCAGATAGCTTCTGGATTCTGATGTATTAAGGGTGGCAGGGGAGAGCTGATGCCCCACAGCCCAGGGTGGCCAGCCCCTGGCAGGGCTGGCATCACCCTGTACCATGTGAACTTCTGAGGCAGGAGCTGGTTGTTAATGGGGGTGACCAGCTACTTTGTACTACTGACCATTGCCCTCAAGGTGGGAAAGTGGCTACTAAGTGTCTGGCTCTAGGGATGGGGGGTTGGGGGAATGCCAAGCCTGGAGGAGCCAGACCAGGCTTCTCTGTGTTTCTCCAGTTCTTTGCTGTGTTGCATGTCAAGGTGTCTGTGTTCCCCCTGCCCTATTGGGCCTGGGCTGTAGGATGTAAGCTGGTTTGGGGGGTGGGGGGCACAGTTGTTACTGTGCAAGTTCATTCAGGTGTAACTTATTTGTGCAATGGTAGTGTTCAGTCAATAAAGTGGAAAAAAAAAGTCACATCACGTTCTTGGTTAATATTTTCTGACTCTCGGAGGGCAATCAGGCCCAGGGCTGAAGAGACTCCTTGTAGTTCCTATGGTTTGATTATAATGGAGCCTAGAGAGTGGATGAATAATTGAGTACTTAGAAGGATTCGACCTATTTCACATCCTTTTGCCCTCAATGGGCAAACTTCAGCAAAGCTGCTGGGCCTCCTCGAGCTGTGTGGCTGGCTGGACACACAGCTGGTGCGGGTGTAACAGGTATGCCAACCAAGGCAGCTGCAGAACCACAAAGTTTGAGCACAGGGAGGCAGCGGTGGTTTCCAGGTTAGCCCCTGATGGCCACAGCACAGTGGAAGGAGGGCTGGCTCTGGAGTCAGAAGATCTGGGTTTGAATCCTGTTCTCACCTCTTATATAATCCTTTACGGTCTACAAATGCTTTACATACATTATATTTTATCCCCCACAACTCTTGAGAAATAGGTGCTCATCCCTATTTTACAGATGAGGAAACTGAGGCTGGGAGGGTGTGATTTGCTGAGGGTTCCAGCGCTAGCAACTGCCCAAGACTGGTCTTCCTGCTCCAAGCCTCTAATCACTACATCATGCTGCCTGATGTTTACCAGCTGTGGGTGATACAGGATGCAGCATCTCCCCTCTTTAGGCCTGTTTCCCCATTTGTAAAACAAGCATGTTACCAGAAAAGTGCTCTGTGAACTTTAAATTGCCATAAAAATGGGAATTGTTAGTACTACTTTCTCACTTTTGAATTTCAATGGCTGTGACTCTGCAACAAGCCTACATGTCTGCTTCACAGGTGGTGATGGTGTGAGGCTAAAATGAAATAATGGATTTCATGAAGTCCAGGGCTCTTGAAAGTGCAAAGCACAGTACCACACATCAAGGCGCTGTTCTAAAAGTGGGCTGAGTCCAGGAACATGCAGTGTTAGTGCTGGCAGTTAAAAATTGAGGCTGTTCACTGAGAGTTCCCCCTTCCCTGTTCATCTCCTATGACTCGCCCAGATGCCTCCTGCCACTGTCTCCTCCTCAGCCCCCATCCTACATAATGAGGTTGCCCTTCTTGCCAAGGCCAACCCTTCCCTGCACAAACGATCACATCACTTTTCATCCTTCCAGGAGTTTGCCGCCTCTATCATCCCCACTCTCTTCAGCATCTCCCCATCTGGCTGCTCCTCTGCTGCCTACAGACATTCCTATGTCTCCTTCTTTCTCACTGGATCCAGCCAACCCCACCAACCACTGTCCCTTCTTTGCTGCCTTTTGTGAGTAAACTCCTTGAGGAGGCTATCCATAATAGGTGCTTCCTCCTCCTCCCTCTCAATTCCCTATAATCTGGCTTCCAACACCATTCAACCGAAGCTGCTCTCTCCAAGGTTACCAATTATGTTACCAATTAATTGGCGCAAGTCTAATGGCCTTTTCTCAGTCCTCATTCGTCTTTGCCTCTCTGCAGTCTTTTACCACTGGTGATCACCCTCTCCTTGATGCTCTTCTCTCTAGGCTTTTGGGGCAACACCGTCCTGGTCCTCCTGACTGCCCCTTTGGTGGATCCTCATCCAGGTCATGCCCACTAACCGTCCTGGGCTTTTTTCCTCTCCTCCTTCCGTTACTTCATTTGGCCATCTCATCAGCTCCTATAGATTAAATTATCATCTCTATGCCAATGATTCTCAAACTCACCTAACCTCTCGTCTTCTATTTCCAACTGCTTATTGGATATCTCAAACTAGATGGATGTCCTGCCAACATTTTAAGCTCGGTATGTCCAAAACAATTTATTATGTCCCACCAAACCCTCCCTATTTGCTGCTAAGGCCACCACTCCCATTTTCCCAGGCCCAAAAGCTAGAGATCATCCTTGACTACTCGCTACCTCTGACCGCTTCCCCCCTATCCAATCCATTGCCTGGCCTGTCAATTTCACCTTCACAACATCTCTCAGGTATGCCCCATTCTCTCCTCTGACTCTGCCTGTCACCCTCATATCAGATGTTCATCTCGTGCCAGGATTATTCCAATAGCCTGCCAGTGGGTCCGTCAACCTCATATCTCCTCATTCCTAGCTTCCATTCAGCTGTCAAAATGATCTTCCAAAGGAGCACCTCTGACTTTGTCATCCCCCTACTCAGTAAACTCCACTGGCTCCCTATCACCTCCAAGATGAAATATAACATACTCTGGTCTTCAAAGCCCTTCGTAACCCCTCCCCTCCCTATTTTCTAGTTTTCTTCTACCTCAGTCCACCGTGGCCTCTTCAGTTCAGGGATGCTGCCTTCCTGGCTATTCCACGGACAAGCCATTTTAGCTCTTTGTTCCAGGCATTTTTACTGACTGTCCCCATGCCTGGGATGCTCTTTCATCTGCTGGCTTCCCTTAAGTCTCAGCTAGAATCTCACTTGCTACAGGAAGCCTTTCCCAACCCTTCCTAATTCTAGGGCCTTGCCTCTAAATAGGATTATTTCCTATTTATAGCTTGTTTTGTGCAGAGTTGACTTTGCATTGAGAGCGGTGACTGTCTTTTGCATCTCTTCACATCCACAGCTTATGCCTAGTACACAGTAGGCCCTTCACACTTACTGACTGACTGTTGGTGTTTGACAGTGTGATGCAGCAGGAGCACTGGCTCCAAATCCCAAACGTGCAACCTTGGGCAGACATTTAATCTTTCCGGGCCTCGGGCATCTCCAGTTTAGAAGTTTTTCTACTTCTAAATCCTATGACAACCTCACAAGCTGCCAGCTAACTCTCCTCTGGCAAAGGGTTCCCAGAATAGCTTGCTTAGGGAAAAAATTCTGAAATATTTCCTACCAGAGAGACAATAAAAAGTAAAGGAGAGGCTCTTAGAAAGAGAAAACATTTAATACTTTTTTTTAATCAAGATTACAATTCGATTTGCCCTAGACAAAGGAGAAACTGTAACAAAAGTTATATTGATCATCTGAAGACACCCTTCTCCCCTACCTCCCCCCAACTGAATACAATGGTGGCTCCTGCTGGCCTATGGGAATGATGATGACATGGCTAATCTATACCTCCATCCTCTCCTTTCCATACTGGTCTAGAACTGAATGGATAGAAGCCAAAAGGCTTCTAGTGGGTGGCACCACTAGACTCCAGGCTGGGACTACAGGGATTCTAGCATTACTGGGTCCTGTGAAGCCATTTCACATTGCTGCTCCTGGGGCTGGCCCAGGAGGCTTCAGGACCCTAGGTACCTGCCCCAAATTGGTACAGGACCACTGAGATGAGTGGAGATGGGCCAGCAGCTGGGTCCCAACTCTGACACAGCTCAGCACCAGGTGACTGGGGGGGGAGGCAGGAGAACTGACACAGAGAAGAGGGAGATGCATCAGGGAGCAGAAGGTGATGAGAGACAAATCATAAAGGAGAGGGGATAGGGAAGAGGTGCCACAGCGAAGTCTGGTAGGTTTCTCAGGGAGGGTTCAGTTCATCAAACTCTTTGTGCTTAACCTGTCAAAGGAGGAGGTTAGTTTGTTGGGGGCTTGGCAACCCAGAGAGGCAGTAGCCTCTCTGGCTCCTGTGGTCCCATGTTTTGTTTTGTGGGGAAGGAGGACCCTAGCAGTGCCAATGTAACAGCAGCTGCCATATGGGTAACAAACATCCATCAACATGCTCAGTTAAAAGAAAAGTTAAAAGGATACATTGCTTTCTGTATCTGTCACACTGCCAGCTAAGAGGAGCAAAGAGGGGGGCAGTGTCTGCAAAGGAGGCAATAACTCTTGTGTTTAGAAGAGTATGAAGTGGAGGAGACAACACAGGGCAGGAGTGCTGCTGGAGGAGGGGGCGGGGCTGGGGTTCGCAGGGCAATGCTCTTCTTTGTGTGTGGGTTGTATGTAGCTGGGGCTGTTCCTTAGGGCTCAGCCCTCAGCTGCCATACCATTCCTCCCCTCCCCCTCTCACAGCTGGCCTGTGGGTGTCGGGGCAGTCTGCTGGGCCCTGGCTGATCTTCAGGCTCTCAAGGAGATGCTGTCTATGCAAAACTTTTGCTTTTTGGTCAGAGAAGCCACAAGGGGACAATGCTAAAGGGATCTAGGACCCATTGCCTGCAATGGGCTGTGGCTAGCCTGGGGCTCCTGGAATTACAAGGATGCAAATCTGAGGAGAATGTAAAAGCCAGGCCATGGAACAAATTGCCTCTTACACCTCAAAACCACCATAGTATAAGTAAGTCTCCCACATTGCTATACCTAACATTAGCTCCTGCCAAGAAAAAAAGAGAGAAAGAAGAGAGGGAGAAAGCAAAGCAAAGGAGAAGGGAGGGGAGGGGGGGGAAGAGAGAGAGAGAGAGAGAGAGAGAGAGAGAGAGAGAGAGAGAGAGAGAGAGAATATACCAAATTTCTTATTTCAGCCAGTTAAGGCATCAGAACCTCAGGCAAGAGGGCCATGACCTCAACAGGGACCTGGCTGATGCCTACAGGAATAGTCCCCAACTCCAGCTCAAGTCATAACATCCAACCTCCAAGAAGGAGGCTGCAAGCAGCAAGGCACGCTAGGGACAGCCCCATAGGGTAAGGGAGTTGGCTTTCCTGTGCTTCGCTCCTCTGAGATCCTGTGGCCTAATGACTCAGCTGCCAACCTTTGGTCACAGCCAGCAAAGAGAGCTACTCAGACCAGCAGGGGAAGAACCGAGCAGATGGGGTTGTTTCCATAGTATTCCTCCATTCCCTGAAGACCACACAGAACATTTCTTAGGAGATGCTTGATTGTGGCCCCAGGTCTAACACTTGGTACTGCTTTAGTTAGCTCTGCAGGTCTTTTCCCAGTCTGGTTCAGAGAAGGGGGCAGAATCTTCCAAGTCAACTTGAGGGTCTCAGGGAATGAGAACAAGTGATAGCTAGGGCCTTGAGTGGGGGTGAGAGGTTGAGAATTTCTATGGCTGTGGACCAAGGAACCAGGCCACACTCAAAAGACTGAGGGACAGCCTCTGAAAGTTCCTTGGTAGGGGGCCAGAGCAGCGTACCAACGGCTGCTCAGGCAAGGAAGGAAGCATTTAGAGAGGAAGCTTAGTGTTTCAAGAGCACCTTAGTGTTACCCCTTTGCATGGGAGCCTCACAGCCAAGTCCAGTCCCAAATGAGAGTCTAGGGACTGGCTGAGAGGGGGAGCATGGCTAGTGGAGTCAGTTGAGTAAATGAGTCCTGTCCACCCAAGCCCCTCAGAAGCAGCAAGTGGAAGGGGAGTGAAGAAGGGACAAAGTCTAGAGATGGAAGATGGGGGTAAAAGGTGGAAGGAGGGAGGATGCTCCCCTCCCCACCAAAAAAAAGTTTGGGCGGTCACTAGTGTCTTACGTAAACCTAGGTGATTTAAACAAACTGTGTTTCTCCACTTCCATCACCATAAACACCACAAACCCCCCCTACACTGATTAAAACTTCCTGGCTCATCCTTCTTTGCCTATACTCAACTTGTAACTCAACTAGGTACATCCACTGCTTGGTCTTCCCAGGGCAGGCTGAGCCTGACCACAGGTGTCAGGACTCAGGGGCTCTGCTGCCTGAACCTTTGCCAAAGGGACTGGGGGGGGGGGAGGCAGCAAGCTCCTTGAGGTCTCTCAGGAAGTACCAAAGCCTTGGGAAGGATGGAGTTGAGGGGACATCCAGTCCAGATAATCTGACACCCTTCTGGCATGGGCAGGGTTAATACTATCCCATTTGTCTTCCAGTGAGAGACTGGTGTCACCAAGAACAAAATGGAATGCAGGAGATCAGGCCTGGCCTTCCTCATTAGGGGGAGGAACAGGAGAAAGGAGGAGGAAGGGAGGGCAGGGAGGGAGATGTGGACAACAGCCATTTCACTGAGGTAGTGGGACCAGCACCTCCACGTAGTTGAGGGGGAAGAAGCCCGACTGGCCGTTGATCATGCCTTCGTACCAGTTCTCATCAATCTGGTTAGTCAGTGTGATGATGTCACCCTCCCGGAAGCCCAATTCCCCATCGTTCTCGGGCTCAAAGTCATATAGGGCCTTGCAGCTGGGCTGGTCCAGAGGTGCTGGGGAAGACAGACACAGAGAGGTGAGTGATGAGAGGTCTCCCTGGGGTATGGAACAGAACACATGGCGACTGGCAAGCCTTAGCCCACCTGGGTTAGTACCTTATTTCCTAATGAATGTATCATTCATCATATGAGCCTGGAGATTCCTTCCAACTCTATAAAGAGCCTATGCTTCTGTCATTGTCTTTGCCTGAGAACCTACAATCCTCCAACCCTATGAAACTTCTCTGGCTTTCAAGATTCTCCAGTCTGTCTTTCATTGCCCACTCCCCACACTCACATATAATAATGATTTCTTCTGTGGGGAAGTTTCTAGTGAAGAGTCTCTCCACCTTTGGACAAATGTGTCTCCACAAAGTCACTAGACCTTTTTTACTTAAATCCTCCCAACTTGTTAGTTCCTGCTTTTGAATACCCATCATACCACAATGAAGCCCTGGAGGAAAAATCCAGCAGAAATCCATGAAATCTATCTTTTTGTTGTTCAAGTCGTGTCTGACTCTCGGTGACCCCATCTGGGATTTTCTTAAAGGTACTGAAGTGGTTTGCCATTTCCTTCTCCAGCTCATTTTACAGATGAGGAAACTGAGGCAAACGGGGTTAAGTGCCTTGCCCAGGGTCACCCAGCTAGTATATATCTGAGGCCACATTTGAACTCATAAAGTCCTGACCACAGGACTGGCATTCTATCCATGTGCCACCTAGCTGCCCTTTTGAATCCATTTACCCTATCCCATTTCTCACTACTCCTCTAGGCAGGCAGTCTGTCCTCAGCACATTCTACTCTTTAAATAAGCATTTGCTCATGCCATCCTTCTGGCCTGGAATGTTCTCTCCTTCATTTCCCACCCTATTCCATCTGCCTAACTAAATCCTATTTATCCTTCGAGGACCAAGTCATGTTCCAACTCCTCTAGGAATCCTTTCCCCAGCATCCCAGTCCACACCAATTTCTGCTCTAAACTCAGAGACTCAGTATCACATCTCTTGGCATTTAACTGTTCTCTAACTGCATATGCTAACTTGGTAATAGAGACCATTTCTTATTCTCCTCTGGTACTGGGAACATAAAGTAGGCCCTTAAATAATACTGGAGGTGTGATTTTAGCACAAGTTTGTTGCAGCACTCAGAAAAACAAGTCTTGAAATGGCTGCTATGTTGGGCAACAGAGCATCTGCACCACTAGACTCTCATATTGCCCCATTTGAACCCTTGCTATAATGAGAGATTCACAGCCCCTCCATAATTAATCTCTCATTCCCACAGTAGGGTATTATTAACCCTAATTAATGCTGGTTGAGAGATGAAGAAGGAAACTGCTACTCAGAGCAGTTAAAGGACCTGCCCCCAGTCACAAAGTTAGTGCCACCAGTGAGGGGTTTCAACACCTTGCTCACTCCCAGCTCCATGTCTACACTATATACCCCATTTCTTGTCTTCAGTTATATGAGATGAAGTGCTTCCTGAAACATTTTTGCCCATTTTCAGTCTTGCATGTGAAAGGAGACACTGTGAGGTTTACTAGAGGTGTTATAGGAACCAGTCCAGAGGCCAGACCCAAATGGCACCCTTGTTCCCCAAGATGGTGGTGACAGGCATGTACTCCACATGCTGGATCTCAAAAGCTTCCCACAGGTGGCCCAGGAAATGATGCAGCCTTCCCACACTGGTGGTGGCTGGGGTTTAAAAAATTTCTCTATATAAGTGGGAATGATTTGTTCCCCCATCAAGAGCTTTGACTTAGGGACTCTAGAATTTTCCAGGTATTACTCCTGGGGCTCTCAGTTACAGAAGCCCTGAGAGCTCCTGACCCTAAAAAGAGCCAGGACCCCTGGCAGCTTTATGTCACACACACCCCTTGCACATCTACCCAAAATGGGCAACTCTGTTGTACTTTGTATATTGTACTTTCCTGGCAGAGAGCCTAGAATACAGTGATAGGCACTTAATAAATGCATGCTGAAATGAATGACATTGAATCTCCCACCTCTGTGTCTTTGTTTACACTGTTCCTGACGCCTAGAATGTATTCTTACCCTATTTGCTAAAATCCTACTCAAGCGCTGCCCCACCCCCACCTCCCCTAAGGTAGCAGCATACTGCTCTGTGCCTTGGCCATACTATGTCATGTACTAGATCATACATTATAAGTCTCTAGTTTGTAGCTTATCCCCTAACTAGACTGTGAGCTCCATGAGGACAGGAATCAAGTTTTAACTGTATTCTATATTGTCCCCAGAGGCTCACACATTAAACACAATGTGTGATGAGTTAGCAAATGAATGGTTTTTTTTATGGTTTATAATTTTTATGGTTTATAATTAACTTCCCTCATCCATTTCCATTCACAGCCTGATCCTAACATTGCTGAAGAAACATCATCATGTTTTTAGGTCAAGTGGAGCTCATTCACATGTAGATCATGAGATTAAAGAACCCTAAAATCATCAACTGCTATGGAAAGAGAGTCCTCTTAGGGACAATACGTTAGTGTTCCACCCAGAAAAGGAAGGAAAGCAAGGGCATTAGTAAACAGAAGGCAAGCAAAAAAGCAAGAGCAAGAAACAGGAAGAGGGGAAGATGGAAAAGAAATAATCCACTAGCCAGAAGTGACAGGATGCATGCAGCTGAGGGCACACTCACGCATACTCCTGACGGGGGTCCGGATGGGCTTGTCAGAGGATCGGAAAGAGGAAGAAGCTGCTTCCAAATCAAACAAAAAGATAAGCTTACAACCAGGCTATATGTGACCATAATTTCAGATCCCCAAAGGTACCTTGCCTCTTGTGATCAGAGGCTTTTGGGAATATGGACCAGGGAAACTGATGTGTTTTCTTCCCACAGGGCAGGAGGTAGGCTAGGGAAGATAAGAATAGGGATAGTGGTAGGGATTTGAAGTGGCATCCAAGGACCTATGAGAGAAGGGTGACTCTTTCTTAGAGTCTGAAAGACAACACCACCTCAGGAAAACACACTCGCCAGAACACAGGCCCATGAATCTCCTTCTTGCCCAAGCTGCCCCATCTTGGAACCTCCCTTACCTTTTCTGTTGCCTCGGTTCATAATTACCTGTGATCTTGGGAGCTGGGGCACAAGGGAAACCTCCATTGGACTGGTCAGGCTCTCCAAAGTCATAGGAATCTCTAGGCTTTGGCTTGTATTCCCGCTTTGGACGGGAAGAGGCTTCCCGCATCCTACATATGTGAAAAATAATCTGTGAGCACCAGGCTAGGTAGTGCACCTAAGTATCGTTCCAAGAATTATATGGGCTAGTAACTCAAGCACAGATGCTTGAGTCACCCACATTTTTGGTTTGTATCCTCATTACTACTAACATTCTAACAGGTAAAGTCAGCACAACCTCCTCTCTCTCACTCTCTTCTCTGCCTCCTTCTCTCTCCACAGTGTTATGACTGTTCCATACGGTTTTTCCAATGTTTTTGATGACTTTGGGATTCCTAGTCTTTTGAAATCAGAAAACCCCTTTATGTGACTATTTCAAAGCTATGCAAATCATTTAACCTTTGAAATCAGGGAAGCTGAAATTCAGAAAGTGAGTGGCTCTTCCTAGGTTATCCTGAATATCCCTGTACGCTTCTGTACTTCCTAAGTTCCTGTGTATATCTCTGACTCAGTTCAATACTTTAGTAGATTTAAATTTCATGGTTTCTGTGTTTAAAAAAAAAAAAGGAAATTGTCACATGTTAATCAATTTGGTGATGAGTCTCCACCACCCAAGGACCAGTCTAGCCCAGTACATGTTGTCAGCTGTGTATTCAAAACCTTTCCAGCTTGCACTTTGATAACCTTGAAAGCACAGGGTCACTTTTATGAAGGGGCTTTAGTAAAGGAAAACAGATCTCCCTATTTAAAGTCCCTGACTTCTTCTGATTAATCCTGTCCTAAGTGATTATGTCAGAGCAAAGCTATCTTAAGTGTTTTTTGATAAACTGATTTCCTCATAGCAAGTCCTCAAAAGGATGAATGAAGAGAAGAGACACAGGTGGATAATAACTGATATTTTCGAAATGGCTTTGAAGTTCACAAATCACTTTATATCTGTATCTCATTTGACCTTCACAACAATCCTGTGAAGTAAGTATTCTAAATTTCTTCCTCAATTTAGAGAGAAGGGAGCCGTGGCTCACAGAGAGTAAGTAATTTGCCTACAGTACTATGTCAAGTTCAGTTTCAGAGGTAGGAACTGAATCCAGGTGTCTCTTTCTCACACAGCATCTGCCTCCCATCCTCAGAAGTGAGGTCCACTGCATTTGGAGTCACAGGACCTTGTTTACAATTCTGGCTTTGCCAGTAACTTGCTATATGATCCCAGGGAAAGCTCTTGCCCTCTCTAGGCCTTGGTTTCCTCAAGTGTAAAATGCGAGTTTTGCATAAGACCTCTAAGGGCCCTCCAGCTCTCAATCCTGTGAACAGGATAAGCAGTCCAACTCAGAGATTTGCTTATCTGCTCCTGGTGCCCTTTCCTAGCAGGAACTACCCCTACCCTGGGGATCTGGTGGAAACCTTCATCCTTTCAGCACTTTGTGACTAAGAGGTTCTTCCCTGGCTATGCCTCCCTGGGGCCAGTGTTTTGGAGATGTCCCCATCTGAGACATTTAGGTAATTTTGTCTGGGATTAAGAAGAGAAGGACTGGCTCTGAGTCAGCACTAGAGAGGAAAGCTCCTTCCTGTTGGGTGCACTGAACACACAGCCAGGAAAAGTTATTCAGACAAAAGGCTACATAATCTGAAAGATTCACAAGCCCTGGCTGGTGTCTTGCTTATTTCCTACTGTAGAAGCCATAAGGTCTGTTACACATAAAAAAGAATTTGGATAAGTCAAGGTAATAGAGACTAGCCCAAACTCTTACTAGATCAGAGTTTACATTCTTTTTTTTTTTTTAAAGGCAACTGGGGTTAAGTGACTTGCCTGGGGTCACACAGCTAGTAAGTGTCAAGTGTTTGGTCTGTGGCCAGATTTGAACTCAGGTCCTTCTGATTTCAGGGCCGGTGCTCTATCCACTGTGCCACCTAGCTGCCCCTAGAGTTTACATTCTACTAAGAAGATAAAACATTTAAATAGATAAATTGATACTAATTTGAGGAGCACGAGACACCAGTGGGACCAGGAATGTCTTCCTTTAAGAGCTGGAATTTGAGTTGAACTTTGAAGGAAATTAAGGATTTTAAGAGGCAAAGGTAAAGAGGGACTATGTTCTAGGAGGGGTGAGGGAGGTGTGGACAGCCTGTATAAAGGCTTGAAGGCAAAAAAAAAAAAGGAATGCTGAGTTTGGAAAATCAATCTTCTGTCTTCTTTGATAGTTCCTTGTCCACATGTTGCATCTCTTACAGATATATTCCCCAAGGCTCAATCCTCGGACCTCTTCTCTCATTTTTATTTTCTTTTCCCTGAAAATTTCAAGAACTTCCACAGATTTTAGAGCTTGGCCTGGAAGAGACTTCAGAGGCCAGCCAATCCAACGTTTTCCAGATGAAGAAACTGAGGCACGCACTCAGGCAGGTTAAGTCATTTATCTCAAAAATGACTTGCAAAGCTTTATTCCAGCTCTGATCTCTCTCTCCAGTTCTAGGACCTCCAGGACACCTCTACCTGAATATCCTATCAGATCCCCCAAACTCAACACAGACAAAACTTACTTCTTCCTCTATATCTGCTTTTTTCTGACACCCCCCCGCCCATTTCTGCCAACGGTACTTACTGTCCACCTGATGTTAGTAACCTTAGTGTAATATGACCTGCCTCTCCTTTCTCCTCTCTCATATAATAACAACAGTAGCATTTACACAGTGCTCTAAGTTTTACAAAGTGACTTATAAATATTCTCATTTTTATCCTCACAACAACCCTGTAAAGTAAGTGATATTATTATCCCCATTTTACAGTTAAGGAAACAGGAGTTAAGTGACTTGCCCAGGGTCCCATAGCTATTAAGTGCCTGAGGTTACATTTGAACTCAGGTCTTTGTGACTTCAGGCCCAGTGCTGTAACCACTGTGCCAACAACTACTTCACTGTCCTGTCAGTTTCAGCTCTATTAAGTCAATAACCAAGTCCTGCGAATTCTAGCTCCATGACATTCCTCACGTCCATCCCCTTGTCTCTGTTTCTATTGCTACCAACACAGAAAGGGACCTCACCTGTCTACGCTATTCCAGCAACCGCCTTCTACCTCTCTTCTCTGTCCCTGGCAATTCATCCTTCACACAACTTGGCATAACTTATACACAGATCTGATCAAGTCACCTCTCTGCCCATAACCTTTCGATGACAACCAGTCACCTGCAAAGTAAAACTCAAACTCCTTAGTACTGTGAAAAAGGTTCTGCACTACTTTCCCTAGGTGCATCTCCCATGACTCCCTTCTCTATACATCATGCCCCATCCAAATCTGGTTCCTTGTCACGCCTCCCCACACAGGCCAAACTTTGGCAGCTCTGCTGCACCTCTGGCTATACCATTCCGTATGTCTTCTCTCCTACTTCTCACACACCACACATGGATTTGCATTCTAGTCATCTGTGTTTGTGTCTTATATCCCTACTAGACTGTGAGCCCCCGACCCCCCACCCCTTGGGTGGGAACCATGTCATAGTTTGCCTTTACATTGATCGCCCAGTGTCTAGCACAGTTCTCAACACAAAGTAGATGCCACAGATGTTAGTGGTGTTGAAGTAATTTTTTTTTTGAGGAGCAGTATGGTATTACAGAAGGGTCACTGGAACTGAGGCAGGAGACCTGGGCTTCTGTACTGACTGACCCTTACTAAGGTATATGACCTTAGATAAGTTATTTGCACTTCCTTGGTTTCATTTTCTGTTTCTCCATCTGTAAAATGAAGGGACTGGAGATCATCTCTAAGGCCCCTCAGACACTAGATATTTTATAGAATCCTATGTACTACTGACATTCTATAAAACAGGACTCATGCTTTTCTCTTCCACCTTTACTATATACTTAACCATGTTCTAATTTATTTTGTGGTACAGTGGAAAGAAGCATACTCTGGCTCTAGAGTCAAAGACTGCTCCTGCCACGTACTGCCTGTACGACTGTGGGCAAGAGACTTCATCTCGATGGATAAGCGTCAGGCCCCTCACCTGCATGGGAGGGGGTGGGACCAGTGGCCTCTAAGGTCCCTTCCAGCTCTAAATCTGGGATCCTAGGCTCCACTTACTAGAATCCTTCACTTCTTCCACCACAACTCAGCCTTTCCTGATCCTCCTAATTTATTGAATTGAACTAAACGTGGTAAAATGATTTTATAAACCTTGATGCATTGCTATTTTTATAGTTAAAGATAATCCCTAGCCAGGCTATGGATCTGATCGAAGAAAGTACATTTTTATTTTCCTAACAGCAGAGGTCACTACTGCTGTGGCTCAGACTGCAACAAGAAATGCTTTTCCCATCTCCCTTCAGAGCTAGGCTGATCATATGGAAAAAACAGGGCCTCTTAAATTAGTCAGGGAAGAATGTTCTTTTGGTGTAGGCTCTAGGCTTCCTAGGCAATTGTGAAAACCAGGCTCTTCCAAGACTGAGGGGAAAAGACCAGGGCTGAGTTCTCAGGAGAAAAAAATTAACTATCCCTGAGAGGATCTAGAGAGCCAAACCCAATCGAGGGCCCGTATCCCAATTGCCCATTCAGAATGAGCTCTCTGGCAGCCTGTCTCCTGCTGTGTGCTTGGCAAAGTACAGAGAAAGCCAACGCAGAGGGAGAATGGGCAAGAGGCCAATATCCTCTCTCTTCGTCTGCCTCCCTGAGAAAGCTCACCTGCGCTTCAGCTTGTCCGCCAGCTCATCCAGAATCTGTACTGCTTGCCTGTGGTAATCCAGCTGGGCATCCACCAGGGCTGAGAGCTGGCTCACCTGCTCAATCTGCAAGAAACACAGTAGTTTGAGGCTGCCATCTCTCCTACGGAGGCTGTTCTAGCAGAGCTGAAGGCCAGGAGCTACAGAACTGACTGCTCAACTTTTCCCTCAACAACCAAGAATCCCTCATGAGATTCTGTTGTTATATACAGAAGTGCCTTCCTACCTCTCCACCTAGCTAAAGCATATTTAGGCAGTCTGATGGAACAGAAAGAACTGGCTAGTCAGAAGACCTAAGTTTGAACTCTAGCTCCCCTACTTATTAAGCTGCGTTGTTGTTTGTGACTCCATTTGAGGTTTTCTTGGCAAAGATACTGAGTGGTTTGCTATTTCCTTCACCAGCTCACTCTACAGATGAGGAAACTGGGGCAAACAAGGTTAAGTGACTTGCCTAGGATCACCCAGCTAATAAGTGTCTGTGGCCAGATTTGAACCCATAAAGATGGGTTTTCCTGACTCCAGGTCTGGCAATTTATCCACTGACCCACCTAGCTGCCCATTCAGCTGTGTAACCCTGGGCAAAATCACTTTCTGGGTCTCAGCCTCCTCACCTGTAAAATGGGGATAGAGATTCCTGTATAACATCATAAGGCGGTTGGGCATAAAACCCTACAGAAATATGAGATTATTACTGTTACACTTAAAAATTGGGCTGTATTTCCACTTCCTCACTACTCCAGCCTACACTGACCTGAAGCTCAGATTTATAAGAAAACAGCAGAATTGCAGCTGAGCACTGATACTGGGGAGTAAGTAAAACAGCAGCATTCCAGGCAAAACTGCAAGAATCATGTCAAGGCCAGAGCAAGTCCAAGTGAGGGAGGGAGCTGAACAGGACTTGGGTTTTATAGGATTAACAGCTAGGTGGGACCTTAGAGATCATCTAATTCAACTCCCTCATGTTGTAGAGGAGGAAACTGAGGCTAAGTTCAGTGACTTGCCCAAGGTCACAAAGATACAGTAAGGAGTCGGGCCTCAGACTTCAAATCCAGTATTTTTCTACCATACCAGGCTGCCTTTTAATATGGAACAGAACTGACAAACAGCTATGCTATTCACACCCCCCCCCCCCGATCCTCATAACATCGAAGCAGCTGAACAAGCCCCTACAGAGAAAGCACTTACATCAGTCTCCAAGAGGTTGTGCATGCTGGTCTCTGCCACTTCCTTGGACTCCTCAAATTTCTCCATCGCTTGACGAAGCTCCTCATCTGGTATCTTTCCCTGACGCTTCTTCTTATAGTCGAAATCCAGACGTCTGCCCTCGAGCTTTTTCAGATGATGCTGGGGGGTGGGAGGTGGGGGGGGGGGAGGAAAAGGCTCCATGAACAATGAGGACTCTGTGATAACAGATCACTAGAACCCTTTGGGAGTTCCTTTAAACAATGGCTCCAGCAGTTTTATATGGAGGAAAAAAGGCTGCAGGGTGCTAGGTACCCAGTATATTAATCCCTCTGTAAACTTTACAATGCTGCAACACGGGGAATTATTATTATAATACTGTTTCAACTGATTCACTGGAGGGGTGGAAGGGAAGGGGGACTTATGTCATTATCCATCCCCTGCCAAGGGTATAAGAGGTATTCTCTGATGGCTAATGAGAACAAAGAGAGGCATGACGCTGGGTTGTGAAATTTTCAGGTAAACACAAAGTCCTATTATGTTCCTCTATAAATGGTCACTAATTGGGTCTGCTTTTGCTCCTTCCACCCACTCACCCCCCCCACCTTGGGGGCCACGCGTACCTCTCTGGACCATATCATACCCAACAAATGGCCTGGTTCTTGCAGCCTGGAATGCTGGGTCAGAGGAACATTAGGTAGGGCAGATACCTGGATCTCCTTTAGGTCTTTATCACAGAGGTTCTGGAGGGGGTCCACAAAGTTCTGTTTGACTTCGATGTCCAGAGAATCTTTCACTTCTGCTAATCGCTTCATTGATTCACCAGCATCCAAGAGGGCATCCCCTTCAAAGAAGGAGGGCCATTAGGAGGGCTGAGGTGACGTGAGCCTTTCACAGGACCACTGCCAAAACCGCCTTCCTAAAGTTCCCGCCTGGCCATGCCACCCCCCTGCTCCACAAGCCAGTGAGCTCCCTCCTGGATGTAGAATGCAACGCACAGTTTCCTCAGCTCAGCGTCCAAAGCCAGGTGACACCTGGCTTCCACACACTTTCCCAAGCTTGTTTCAAACAGTTCCCCTTCACGTACTCTATGTTTCAGTCTTCCCCAACATATTCAGTAAGCAATGAACCTTTCCCACTTCAAACTTTAGAGCCGGACAGGACCTCAGAGACCATCAAGGCCAAACTCCCTCATTTTACAGAGAAGGAAGCGAGGCTGAAGGAGAGGACACGATGCTCCCGTGTCACACACGGGGCAATCTGTGACAGTGCTGTGCTTTGAACCCACACTCTCTGACTCCAATCTAGTGCTCTTCTCAGCACCAGGTTATGCTTCTCTCCTCCGGGTTTTTGAGCCAGCATTCAATGCCTGCACTGCATTCTTTCCTTGTCTCTGCCTTCCTTTAAGGCTCAGTTCATCAGCACCCTTATGGAAAGCCTTTGTTGATTCCCCTGGATAACGGTGCTCACTCTCTCCTCAAATGATCACATATATTCTTATCAGTTTATATATCTCCTCCCAGCAGAATTAAGCACTTATTATTTTGATTTGCCTTTGCATGCCTAATACACTGACTTCAGCACAGAGTAGGTACTTTAAAAAATGCTTTTGAATTGGATTGGGATTTTAAAGGCTTCTAACGAAGAATGAGGAAGCCTGGAAGATGATGTTAGCTTCATCTCACTCTCTAATATATGGAGGTATCTGCCAAAGGATTTGTAGGCCTGAGGTGAGAGGGATGAATTTGTGTAGCCTACATGTAGGCTACATTATATTCATGTATTATATTGTATCATATTATATTAATGTAGCCTAATGTAGGCTACATTATATTCATAGTAAATGACGTAGTATTCTGTATTATAGAACTTTAGTAGACAGACTCTAAATGAACAACGGGTTTTCTAGAGGCAAGTCACAAATGAGTTTATGTTTTCCAGAAAGTAAGTTAGCTTCAGAATTCAATAGCTCTGAATGCGAAGGTCACCAGCCTAGACAAGACATACCTTATGGCAGATTGTATGGGGAGTGGGAATGGAGATGGGTTCAAGAAAGCTTGATTTCCTAGCTGAAGGAAGCTAATGTGAAGGAAGCCACTGCAGGCTCCTCTGACCCACACTATGAAATAATTTAGCAGCTAAAACAGGCACAGTTTAGGCTAGAAGGAGATACTGTTTAAGTAAGTTCAGTTCCCTTTTTTTGGCAAGGCAATTAGGGTTAAGTGACTTGCCCAGGGTCACATGGCTAGTAAGTGTCAAGTGTCTCAGGCCAGATTTGAACTCAGGTCCTCCTGACTCCAGGGCCGGTGCTCTATCCACTGCGTCACCTAGCTGCCCTAATATTTCTGTCATCCCAAACACCCCCTATGCCCTGTGTTCTGTGTCCTTGGGTCCTAGGCAGACATTTTCTTCCAAATCAAGGACAGATATTTCTTGGAAGTTACCAACCAGAAGACATATCTCAGCTCCAACCCCTTCGAAATTATTCTTGGGAAGGTGAAACTATCTCCTCCACAAACCTCTCTAGACAGGACGCTCTCAGCTCACAATGCAGATGGTGCTGAGTGTAGAAGGAAGTCTTGTGAACTCTTTCTACTTCCTCCATCTCCACCTCCACAAATTGGGCCCATGGCCCCGGCTGGATGACTTTTCAGGGTCCAAAATCAGTAGAAAGAGGAGTGATGTTACATGAGAAGAGAAGCCTATAGCATTGAGTAACAGAAAGAATGGTGGCCTAAGGGTCTAGATTCCTGAGCTTTGGGTCTACTTAGCCAGGCAAGTGCTTGGGCTTCTCTCAAAAATGAACAACACGGTCCTAAGGCAGTAAAAGAACATGGATTTGTGGTCTGAACATAGAACTCTGCCACTTACTGTGTCACCCTGGGAAAGTCACTTTCCTTTTCCAGACTTCTGTTTCCTTATCTGTAAAATGTGGGGGTTGGTATGTTTTGTGGTACAAGAGAATCAGAAAAAGAGGGTTCAAGTACTGGCTCTGCCACCAACTACTTGGGTGCCTTTGGTTAAGTTACTAAGGCCTTTCCCAGCCTCAATGAGAGGGTTAGATGAGATGAGCTCTTGAGATTCCTTCTAATTTTATGATACAATGATCCTAAAACTAGGCAATTTGTAACATCCCTTGCAATTCTAAAAGTCTACAACTCTTTGAGATGACATTTGAACTGTTAGAATACATTATATCCTTCTGAATTAAAAGAATTATTTTAATGGATCCCAATTTCCTAGTGAGAAAGTACAAGTTAGAGCACTTTGAGTAAGATTCTTCCCTGGGCAATGGTTAATCTCATTGTTCCTGATTTCCGTAGCAGTGTTACCACAGCTGTTCAGCTTCCTGGGATCCCTGACCCTCCCATTCCCATTGCTCCCAAACACATACCTTTTCCTTCAGGAAGATTCATTGCTTCTTGGTTTTCTATACTCACCAGCTCATTCTCACCTCTGTGCCCCCTGTTCATACTGTTTCCGGAGTCTACATTACTCTCCTTCTCCAACTCCATCTATTTAAAGCCTATCTATCCTTCAAGAACCAATCAAGTCCTACCATCTTCTAGCATTCTGACCATTCATTTTTCCCTTTTCTGATCACCAGTAATGTCTCCCAGAAATACCATCCAATTTAATACATAACTGTTTCATAGTTACTTCGTTTATATTAATCTCACTTTCCCAATTAGACTGCAACCTTGAGGGCAAGGAGCTTCTCTTATATTACCTGTGAAGCCCTCTTAATATCCAGCATAATTTGGAGCACATAATTCAGGGGACCTAGGTTCCTCTCTCTCTCTGGCTCTGCTATTAACTCACTGTGACTTTGATGAAATTATTTCCCTTCTCTAGGCCTCAGTTCCCTTACCTGTAAAAAAAAAAATGGTGTTTGACCTAACCTTTAAGCTCAAATATTCTAGGATTCTAAAATTCTAGTAACACTCAACAAATACTTGATTGAATGAAACCCCTGAATCCCCTTTTGGAAAATTTTATCTTATGTAATTTGTTTTTATATTACAGTTTCTGAATAGAACTCTCTCCCACCTCCTATTCAGTGAAACCACTCCTTGTAAAAAAAGATTAAAAAACAAAGAGGTGGAAAAAGCAAATAAAACTAACCAACACATTAACCCTGGCTGACCATATACGCAATATTTCACATCCATAGTTCCCCAATTCTGCAATGAAGAAAGAATGTCGTCCTAACCTTTTAAGACAATGGCTGGTACCCACAGATACTCTACTTACCAAAGTTGGACTCATCTCCTAGCTCCTTTCCATAGCGAATCATGCACTCGCCTAAGAGCCCTTCTGACTGTGGATAGCCAGGATTCTTCACCTGCCCTCTGATCTTCGACACAGTGTTGAGCATTGTGAGCTTGGCTCGGGAGGCTGCAAAGGGAAAGTCCAGACACATGGACACTTGAGTTGGCCTCTCTGGGAATGAGAGTAGGGAGCTGCCAGCATACTACTTCCCTACCCTTTTTTCAGTCATACCCAATTTTTTGTGACCCCATTTGGTGCTTTCTTGGTGAAGATATTGGAGTGGTTTGACATTTCCTTCTCCAGCTCATTTTATAGATGAGAGAACTGAGGCAAACAGAGTTAAGTGACTTGCCCAGGGTCACACGGCTAGGAAGTGTATGAGGCCAGATTTGAACTCAGAAGATGAGTCTTCCTGACTCCAGGACTGGCATTCTATCTACCATGCCACTGAGCTGTCCTCACTTCCTTACCTACCATTTATTTTAATAGTTTCTCACAGTCAGGGAAATCTATTGATTGGTTTGCTTGCAAATTGCACTGGCTATAAAAAGATCTGAATGGCATTCAATCTGATCTGGATAGCAAGGCCCAAATGGATTTTTTCTTGCCCTATTCCAGGCACTGTCTCTGTTGCCCATAAAGCTAGCAACTCAATATAGAGAACTAGTGGCAGACAGGAAAAGTATTTGGGCTGTAAGAATGAATTACTAATCTATTCTGGAAGGCATGTCGCACAACTTCTCAGACTATCCCAGTGCCTCTTGGGAATTCTCAGAATGAGAATTCAACAGAAATGCAGTCATATATGTCTTTCTTTTCACTGCTAAAAGAGTAAGAGAGTATTTGGGAACAATTATCAGATTGGGAAAAATCTTACTGGGGAACAGGCCAAAGTATGATCTTAGAATTTAAAATGAGGGTTTTAAACAACTTCCCACTTGCAAATTTTCATCTGTTTCTAGTAGAGGCTGGAAAAGCCTATATCTTAGTACCATAAAACAAATATTGGATCTGGGAACTAAAGGAATCCATAACAAATTCTTTCATGAATAACTACAGTCTTATACCTGGGTTGGGCTGAAGGTACTCAATGGTTCTAGCCAACACCTCTGCCACAGCCTTGCTGGTAACGTCCACTTTCTATAAAGAGAATAAATACATGAGTGCTTAAAATCCATCTCCATCACAAATCATTAGGGGACAACAATCCCCCAGTATAGTTCTTCCCACTGCTTCCTTTACCTTCTCCATTTCTTTGAAGTCATCATCAAGCTTGGTCCCTTCAGCTCCTCCAACCTTTTCACTGACCAGCTGGAGGGAGGGAATGAAAGAGAACGGAGTTAGCAATTAGAACCAGGAATAGCTTGAAGAAAATGTAGGAAAAAATCAGATGCAAAAAGTGGTACAGCCTCACATATTCCTTGCTATAACCTTAAAGGCAGCTCAACTTTAAGTGAAAGAAAAGGGGGTAACTGACTTTGGATAAGACATATGAAGTGAACCCAATTATACCTTGTAGAGACAGAACAGATAATGATAGATGGTAAGATAAAGCTGAAGACAATGATCTTGGAGGGTGACTACTTTTTCCTGACACTGAAACCACACATAATGCAGTTTGGCTTTGTGTGGCTGACCACGTGAAAGGGTTCAACGACAATGGGATCCTGCTGCACCTGTTGAAGTAGGGCACTGCCGCACAAATCAAGGAAAGAATAAAACACCACTCAAAGCAAAAGTGAAACCAATGGTGACCTGTGAGGTCAGGCTCCTGTATGGGCCTTAACTGCACTGGGGACAACATTAAAAAGCTTGTGACAGGGGATAGGGTTAAATAGTACAGGGCTAAAGAACATTCCCAGCCACTGGGAATACTAAAAGTTTTCAAAATTTTTGAATCAAAGAATATTTCTCAAAATACCTATAGCTACATCTGGGTGTATCTGTACTCACATACGCTTAATAAAAACGGGGCGGGGGGGGGATGAATATAATTTGGAGACTAAAGAGAAAAGAACTCAGAAAAAAAAACTTTCACACAATAACTTAAAAGATCACTATCATTTCTATACTTAAAGAGAAACAGGAAACCTTGGCTCTAGGACCAGCTCCAACATAGTTCTATACTGGACAGCGCTACAACCTTGGCCCCAGTTTTCCCACTTGTAAAATAAGGGAGTTGAATGAGATGATTTTTAAGAGCACTTAAGCTCCAAAAATCATGTGACTCTATATATGCAGCTCCTGTAGTTACACAATTCTGTAAACTCTGCTCTGCAGGTATTTTTAAGTGAAATATGTTAGGTTTTAGATGCAATTGTCATTTTCTTTATATCAAAGAATTTAAGAAGGGAAGGGACCTTAAAAGACATCTAATCCCAACCTAAGACTCCCTCTTTATAACAACTTCTCTGCTTGTTCTAGAGAACTTAGGACGACTTAACCCTTTTTGGCTCTGGAAATTTTGCCTTTCAAGCCCCCTCTTTCTCCCCAAAGTTAAGTATCTCACATAGCCTACTATATTTAGAAGGGCTCCAGGCAAGCTTCATTTTATTCTGCAGCAACTCGGATAGCTAGCTGACAAATATTTCTCCCAATACCCCCACCTTCTATTTTGTAACCATAATCAAACCAATATTTCCATTGCTACTGTTCAGTGTGTGTTAATGACTCCACTCACTATCCTTATAATCAAAATACCCTCCTGGGTCACTACTCTATATTGGCTTGGTCTACCCATGAGCAACTGATAGTTTTCCTGATATTATTTAGATCTCACTTTATTCATGTGAGAAGCGTTTTGTAATTGTGTCATATAGTTCCTGGGTTTGTCTTGGCAGGCAGACCCCCAAGTATATTATATTGTTTACAGTTATTTTAAATAGAATTTCTCTTTCTATCTCTTGCTCCTGGGCTTTGTTGGTAATATAATAGAAATGCTGGCAATTTATGTGGGTTTATTTTATATCCTGAAACTTTGCTAAAGTTGTTAATTATTTCAAGTAGTTTTAGTCGATTCTTTAGGATTCTCCAAGTATACCATCATATCATCTGGAAAGAGGGTTTTGTTTACTCATTACCTTTTTTTCTTCCCTTACTGCCATAACTAACATTTTCAGTACAATATCGAATAAGAGCGGTGATAATGGACATCCTTGCTTCACCCTCTGATTGTACTGGGAAGACTTCTAGCTTATCCCCATTACAGATAATGCTTGCTGCTGGTTTTAGATAGATACTACTTACCATGTTAGGGAGAACCAAACTTTTATTGAATTTACAACCAGGTGGCTAACTAGTGAAAAACAACAGCCCTACTGCCACTCCTAACCTACTCTGTGCCCTATTCAAAATCAACCACTTAATTTCGTCTTAAATACAAATGTGCGGGGAAGTATTTAAAAAGAAAACCAACAAAACACCTCCTTCTAATTCTGAGTAGAAAGTCAAGGAAGGAGTAGATTTATGTTTTATGCAAAAACGCCATTATTATCTACTCTTTTGTGACATAAGGAAGGCGCTTTTGAAAAAACAGAAGATCCCAAATCTGAGGCATGTAGACCATTTGGGAACAACTGCTCCAGAAGTGTGAAGGGATCATTTGCAGACTGTTTAATTTTGGGGTGTTAGGGTGAGATATCCTAGAATAAAGGATAAAGAGGTGTCCCTCTTTACCTACCAATTAATTGTGTCCCTGGGTGGGCCAACAGTGGAGTCAACATACCTTCTGCCTAAACGGGATACCTCTAATGGTTGGCCAGTTGTCCTTTCTCAGAGTTTTGAAGTAACTTCTGAACCTCACTGCCCTACAGAAACACGAGCTACTATTTATCCTGGTTCTGTGCTAGGGAACATGGAGGATCAGAGATAAAAAAAAAAGAGACAGTCTTGGTTCCCACTGTTTATAAACTAGCTAAAGATGCAGCATGGTATAATATAAACAGCTAACATTTACATAATGTTTTAAATATTTAATTTAACATTTAAATAATGTTTAACAGCTAACATTTAAATAATTTTTTGCAAACCCCTTTCTGTACATTATCTCATTTGATCCTAATAATAACTCTCTGAGGTAGGAGTTGTTATCTTCATTTTACCGATAAGGTAATGGGGGCTGAAAAGAAGGTAGTGACTTGTTTAGGCTCACACAGCTAATGAGCTGCAGAGGAAGGATTTGAACTAAGGTCTTCCTGACTAAATAAAAGGCAAATGTATCTTCCAATGAAGGAAACTTGACAGATGTTGTAGGAATTTGAAGGAGAATGAAATCATACTGTGGTGGTCAGAGAATGCTTTCCAGAAGGTCAGATGAGCTATCTCTTAAAAGATGGGAAAGAATTAGGCAGAAAGGATGGGAGGTTGTGAGCAAAAGCATAAGAGAAACAGAGAAGCAGGAATGAGGAACAGGAAACCTTAGTTAGGGTACCCAGTTATACTGAATTTCATTATCAGGCCCCTGTGAATGAAGAGATTATGTCTTGATGGTAGCAACAATTTTGCTTTTGTCTTCGGACTTCCAATGTGCCTAATACAAGGTAGGCCCTTAACATTTATCTAACTGAACCGAATTGCATGAATTATTATCTTCACTTTACAGAGAGGAATACCAAAGCTCAGAGGTGAAGTGATCTACCCAGAGATAACAGAGCTCCAAGATGCTTTCTCCACTGAGACTGCTCCTTACTAGCTGTTTTACTAGCTGTCAGACTTGTACCCTCCCAGCAAAAAAACATTAGCCCCAATGTAGAATGCAGTTAAGCTAGCTTGACAGTCTTCCCCAGGTCCATACAAACTTGATGAAACAGAGCTAAGAGGCAGAGAAAACAGGGAAGTGATCCTTTTAAAAATTACTGCTAACTTTCTGTCAAATAAATCAAATGAACTTGTGAGGAGGATTCTCTTTGTAGAGAACCTGGAATTACCCTCTGATTTAATTCTATAGTTTCACTTCTTTTGGCTATGATAAAACAGGAATTCCCATGTGGACTTGTTGAGACTCATTTAGCACCTGAAAGGCAGTAGTAATCTTTTGACACTCTGGGAGGGAGACAATGTTCAAAAGTCCTGTCTTCCTAATCCCTGTCTAAGTGGCAGCTGGTGAAACAAGGTCATCTCCCTTTCTGAAGGCTTCACCTGAGTGGTGGGTATGCTGTTTAAGAACAACTCCTTTATAAAGAGTTTGTTCTGCTGTATCTGCCAAATTTAGGTATAAAGGAAAGAGTATTGAATCTGGAGTTTGAAGTCTGACATCCAGATGCCAGCTTTGCCCTTTCACTGGCCATGTGAGCTTAGGTAAATCACTTACCAGCTCTGGGCTTCAGTTTTCCCCTTCATAAAATGAGGGCTTCCCTAAATAATGTCAATGGCCCCTCTAGCTCTAAACTCCAGAATCTTATGAAGTACATTCTGCACTTGTGTTAATACCTTTCCTAAGGGTCATCAGACACTTATCCAAACATAGACCCAGACTATTCTTATTATTAACAAAGTAAGATGACTTTTTCTTTGCTGAATGAATCTTATACAACTCTCATCACCACCTGATTCAACCCATTCATCAAATTACATGAGGAAGTAATAATAACCTCAGTCAAGATTCATCCAGAATAAAGGTAAGTCAGATGAGTAACTACAAATCTATTATCCTGCAGACCCATGACAAGTACCATGCTAGAAAACATTCATTCCCTCATGCCCCCAAATCTAACCAAGGCAGGGGAACACAGCTGTAGGCCCTGTGTGGAGCCCAGCTCCACATGAGTCATCAGTAGCCAGAATAATGGCAGCCATTGTGAAATGAACTGAAATGTAAATACATCTGAAAAAGCATCAGCCACCCACCTCTCCCCAGCCCAGGAATAAAAACTGAAGCAGATTCTTTAGTAGTAAACCCCTGAAGGATATAGTCATCTATTTAAGAGTCCTAAAATATGCAGACCTATTGAAAGGTTCCTAGAAATCACCTTATTCGATAATTTAATCTTACAGGTGAGGGAAATGAGGCCCAGGATCCCCAAATTGCCCTACAACTTATTCTTTGGCTAAAAAAAAAAAGCCACTTTGTAGTACCCTGTTGCCTATAAGACACAAGTTTTCAGTCTAGCACTGGAGGCCTGCCACAACCTGGTTTCAGTATTATTTCATAATATTCCTCTTCCTACCCTCTCCATTACTGTCAAATGGAACTATCTGCTATTGCCCAAATATGATATGCAATCCTCTGCCTCCACTGATTCTTGAAAGCTATCTTTCTCCACACCTTAAACAGACTTATTTTTTCTTTAAGATTCAGTTCTGATGCCATTGCA